GGTAGCAATCCCTGGATTTGGTAACTAATTATTAAAACACAAAACCAATACATAGAATCAAATATGATAACTATTCAATTTCTTTTTGAACTTCAGGATTATGACAAATATAGCATAAGTGTGTGTAAATCTGTCAGCATACAAGAGAAAGGAGAGGTACAGAGGTGCAGAGGTACTGAGGTAGGGAGAGGGAGAGGGAGAGGGAGGGAGAGGGAGAGGGAGAGGGAGAGGGAGAGGGAGAGGGAGAGGGAGAGGGAGAGGGAGAGGGAGAGGGAGAGGGAGAGGGAGAGGGAGAGAGAGAGAGAGAGAGAGAGAGAGAGAGAGAGAGAGAGAGAGAGAGAGAGAGAGAGAGAGAGAGAGAGAGAGAGTGTGTGTGTGTGTGTGTGTGTGTGTGTGTGTGTGTGTGTGTGTGTGTGTGTGTGTGTGTGTGTGTGTGTGTGTGTGTGTGTGTGTGTGTGTGTGTGTGTGTGTGTGTGTGTGTACATGTGCCATATGTGAAGGTCCAATTTAAAAATAATAAGTATTCTTTTATAGCTATATGTAATGCCTGACTGAAATGCCAGACAAATCTAAGGGTATATTAAGTATATGTAAAAGATATTAGTAACAAAATTAATGTGATTCTATTTGTTTGAAGACATTAAAAATTATCAAAATTTGATATATATCTATAGGAAATTTGGAAATGATTACTATGAGTAAGGCTTAGCAGTGATTGCACATACAATGAAAGAATACTTAAAAACTGCTGTGGCTCAAAATAGTTTTTAAAAATATATATCTACTTTTTACATAACCTCTCTTATGATTCAGTAAGATCTGTCACTAGAAATGGGTCTTTAAAGGCAACTGCACAACCCTCTAACAAATACTCTGCCAAACCCTGCTTCACGTGAACATCAAGTTCCAGTGATGCATAGCAACACACAAAGGCACATACTATCACAAATACAATGTACAAAACTGAACACATATCATGACTATCTATACACTCTGCTAAGGTACACCTTATCATTTTCCTTATTGCTCTAAATATCTTTTCAGACAATACAAGACCAGATATATTTCTTCCTGAAGAAATGTTTTGATATAAGATCTGATTTTCTTTTTACAATATAGAAAATGAGATTCTTTATAAAATACCAACTGAGTAACTTTACAAATGGACTCAGTACTATAAATTTTGGAACATTTATCAGGAAGAGAACTTACAAGCTGACAAAGCAGGAGCACTTCACAAGAAACAGGTTGAAAAACAAATATTTTCAATAATTCCACTCAATTTCTATGACAAGTATAAGAGATATGATAATGCACAAAATCAAAATTGTAAAATGACCTTTACTCTGAAATAATTGTCTATCAAATGTACTTGAGGAGAAAATTCAGGCACAAAAAATTCTTTACTGAATATTTTTTTTTATATAGTCTTAGTTTTCTTTACTGCTTACTACCTAATCATTTGCAATCACTACTAATATTACATTAATTTATTTGCACCCCCACAAAACTCACATACCATAAATAACCTATAAATAATGCATCTGTGTTTGCATCTTCTTGTTGAAGCTAGGGTTTCATGTTGTAACATGAAATATGTTAAAACACATACTGTTAAAGGAAGTCTACCTACATGATAGGCAGTTTTCAACTAGCTTTTTACTTGATAGTAAGCAACTCATAGTTATAAACTAAAAATGCAAAATCCAAGAGTGCAACTTTGCATGTCTATGTGTTACAAATAGCAAACTTAAAGAACACACAATTGCATCTGTAATAAATTTCTTGGACAAATTGCATGACTGGCCACTAATAAACAGAGATAGATGGATTTCATTATTTACTTCACATTTTTGTAAAAGAATTTCTCAAGTTTCATGGTAAAAATGCACTGTATTCATATCCTATGCATTACTCTACCTTTGTACAAAAAATATTACTTCACACTAAAATTAGCCTGAAAAATGTCTTTGGAACCTGAGCCATTCCCATCAAAAACTTATTTGTCTTTTTTTTTATATTTAAACATTTAGAAATGTTTTATGGCAACTTGTGATTGCAAATAGAACATACTTCCAATATGACTTTTCAGTAACGAATCTGTCCTGATTTGCAAACCAAACACTATATGAGCACCTCCATAAAATTAATGAACCCAACTCAACAAATATTTCATTACCATGAGAAAATATGAAGCTTAAAATATAATAATCCTATGTAATTATTTATATGAAAAAAAATGTAATTGTTAGGAAAACATATACCATTTGAGCTACTATGTATGAAACAGCATGTAGATTCTTTTTCAATAAAATTGCACAAATACCTGCCTTAATTCTTTTAAGCAGATGCTAATCCCTTTTTTCTGAATAACTTCTCAAACCTTATTTCAGTAAATCTACAGATCATGCAGCTATGCGCTATTTTTACTTTTTCAACTTAGTTATAGTGAAGGCTAAGCACCAATGCAACTTTACCTTCTAGGACTGTGATATGTTTTTTAGAATTACATGAAAAAAATATAATAACACTAAATGCATGATTTCCTTCATAAACTTGTTCAGAGCTTGGTGCAATTACTTCCTGAAACAGCTGACTGATCTAATACCGAGAGGACAGTAACTGCATCATGGACTGAATGGAAGATTTGTTCTGTAGCGATTGCCTTCAGGGTGCCGCATTTCTCTAAGCTATCCAATACACTTTCTGTAAAGCAAATGTGTAAACTGTAATATGACCTAGCTTTCCTTCATGAAATAAGTAAACAGATAAATATCCAGAGAAAGATATATTATTCCAAATGTTTCAAACAAATGAGGACAATAGGCTCTGCTTTTCTTACCCGAGACTGAAGCAAGAATAAGTGTGATGCCAGCGTCATTGTATTCTTTCCGGAGCTGTGCAATAAGTTTTCCGCCAGTGGAATCCAAATAGATGATTTTACTCATGTCAAGGACTATCCATTTAATTTCCTGAAATGTATGCATTAAAAGCAATTACAGCATATTCTGATATTAAAGTCTAAAAAAAAATTGTAACAACAAATAGCTTTGATCATCTTGATAAGCTGGAATACAATTCTCCAACTCATATTTCCATAAAGCACATTAGACAAATATGCATCAGAGAAATTTCCCAGTTTGCAGCACAGTTCAGATCCACAAACAGAGAAAAAAAATGCTTACAGGCAAGGAAAGTACGACATGCTTATTCTTCTTGTTGCTGAACCTCCCCTTGATGAACCTTGCTGCTCCGTTTAGTTGCTTCTCACTGATGCTGTCCTTGGGTTTCTCTTCAGAGTTCTCAGGGATCTTCTCTGCACTCTCATGCACCCCATTCTCCTATTCAAATAAAAAGAATATTAAGAAGACTAAACTTTAATGAAGAACTTTTAAAATCTACTCTAAAAATATCTTAAAATATGAAAATAATATGTAAGCCTTATCCTATCATAATAACCTCTCAGGTGTGATTAAATGCTGCCTGGCTGAATTTCAAACAAAAAGGTGCCAAGATTTATTTCAAATTTTGCTAGACATGGTTTAACAGAAAATAAAATTCTGATTTACTGCTGACATAACAACTCAAAGTTTAAAACCAGGTTACAATCACTTTGCATTACCTTGATTTCAAGGTTAGATTTTGATTGCCTCTTCTCTAGAGCTTTCTTTGTACTAACAATTACATTAGGTTCTAGGCCAGTCATAGAGAAAATCTGAGTTCGGAAGTATTCACTGTTTGCAAAGTGAAGAGGTCCACTGAACTGGAATATGCAAACTGAAGGTATTTCCACAGCCTGTAATACAAAAAAAGGAAAATAAATAGTAAGAAATATATTAGAAACATTATAAATTTGATGTCAACTCTATAGAATCATCTTATGAAACTGAAAAAATTAACTGAAAAATATCCAAGAATCCATATAAGAATTGCCTAAAACTACCATCTGTTCTTATCTAAAAATAAAACCAAACATGTAAACAACTTTATAAACTTACTGAGGAGTATTTCTTAATATCCAAATAAATGTCTGTGTTGGGGATGGAACCAAGAATGGCTGTGTTAGGTTTCTGGCCTCTAAAAAGCAAAACTACCAGTGACATCAGGACCCCAACCATCAGGCCATAATCTATGTCAATAATAACAACAGCAAGGAAGGCTGCAATCCATATCGATGCATCGGCGCGTGAGATGGCCCACACCCTCTTCAGGTCATTCACTTGTAGGAACATGCCCTTCAGCGCCACAACAATGATTGATGACAGAACACACTAAATAGGAAGAAGATGAAAATGAGTTGAATTAAAATCCCAATAAAAGCATAGAAATATTCACATTCAAAACACAAACAGTTATGAAACATCTACATATAAAAAAAAAAAAAAACTTACATTTGGTAGCTTTTCGAAAACTGGTCCCACAAACAGAAGGACAAGCAAGAGAAGAGAACATGAGATGAGTGACGTGATTTGAGTGACACCCCCAACTGCTTCCTGAATCAGGGACCGAGACAAAGACGCAGCAATGGGAGCACATCCGAAGAAGGATCCAAATACGTTACTTGCTGACTGTTGATAAAGAAAATTCATTACTGCTCTGTGCTTCCTTTAAAACCTCAACTGTTAGTTAACTTTACTTAACATTAATTTCTATCCATTTCAGCTGATTACTAATGCATTAATTTTATGACTTTATGTGAGGAAATACCACTCATACTACTTCTTAACAAATCTTATTATAGTGCATAAAGACAGCTTAAAATCTTTGTCTAATGAATCAACTAAAAGGGAACTTTTATGATATTTTTCACCCTACTACCTCAATTTAAAACACAATAATTTCATATTTATCAATACCTGTGAATATAACTCTTGAGCAGCATCAACCTCATAATTATGCTTCTTAGCAAATATCTTTGCCATTGAGAAAGATATTGTATATGCTACAATTGTAATAATAAATGCATCCACAACCACTTTTGGTAGAAGCTCAAATGGTGG